CTCAAAACGAGTCAAAAAGTATCCATCAAAAAAATCTTGCCCGGCATGTAGTGCGCACGTGTGATGCCAGCTGTTCCACAGGCAGGGGCAGGAGGATTGCAAGTCTGAGGCCAGGCTGGGTAATTTAGGAATACCTTGTCCCAAAAATGTAAAAAGGTTGGGGATATAGCTCAGTGGTAGAGCTCTTATCCAGCAAGCCTAAAGCCCTGGGTTACTCTTAATACCATGAAAAACAAACAAAACTTGGGCCTACCCCTGTCCCTGTCAGTACCATTCCCCTTACCTCCTCTAAACAACCATCTGTTAAACCATTATATATAATTTTTTCCTTTTCCCTCACAAAATTTAGCACACTATATACTGTAATTCTCCCCCCATCACAGTACCAGGGATTGAACACAGGGCCTTTGCACTCAGGTATATCCTCCAGCCTGTGTGTGCCTGTGTGTGTGTGTGTGTGTGTGTGTGTGTTTATTTTACTGGCACATTTAGACATATATAGCGATAACACTCATCACAGAAAATTTGTACCTGTATATGGTATATCTTGATTCTTTTCTCCCATTTCCCTCCCATCCCTTCAACCCTTCTTCCCCTCATTTACGAAAGCTTTTATTCCATTTTTCCTACCATTCTTTTTTTTCTTGTCCCTTCTTTCCTTTCTCCCTCCTCCCTTCCTTGTTCCCCTTCTCATTTGAACATTTTCTTCCCATTTCAGATATCTATTACACATTTTGGTCCTTTTTTGCACTTTTGGTTTCTCACACCAGAGAAACAATACAGTATTTCAACATGTGATTTACTTCATTTAACAGTATGGTCTCAAAGGCCAGGCACTGGTGGTGCACGCCTGTAATCCCAGCACTCAAGAGGCTGAGGCAGGAGAATCATTGCGAGTTTGAGACCAGCCTGGGCTACAAAGTGACCTCAAGGCCGGTCTGAACTGCATAGTGAGACCCTGTGTCAAAAAGATCAAAAAAAAAAAAAAAGTATGATCTCAAGGTGCACCCAATTCTCTAGAAATGTCTCAAGCTTATCCTTTATGACAAAGTAGTACTCCGTTATATTAAAAAGAAACCACATCTTTATCCATTCATCAGTTCCCTGTGCCTTTTTTGTTTTTATTTTGAGACCATCTTCCTGTGTTTCTCAGGCTGGCCTCAAATTTGTAATCCTCCTGCTGACTCATGAGTAGTAATCCTCCTACTCAGACTCATGAGTAGTTGGATTACAGAGGTGTGCCACCATGCTCGGCTATCCCTAGCTCTCTTACAATTACTTTCTGCACTCCTAGTTATACCTTTTTATTTTATCAGGTTCTATAGTGCTTTGCAAAATGGTACAGCATACTTATAATTTTCAAATCACTGCCACAATCTGGAGCAAGGTGCATTATGTTTGTTAGAATTTAACATGAATCATGGTCCTCAAAGTGTAAAAACATCTTCACAATCTTCATGATATCAAAAAAAAATCATTGTTTCACAGTGTAGTTCTTGCCCAGTTTTTTATAGTAGTTGTTTGGTCACTGTAATATCCTAGATATACTTTGTTTATTATTTGCTGTACTGGAGATTGAACCCAGAGCCTTTAGACTGAGCTACATCCCCAGTCCTTTTTTTATTTTGAGACAGGGTCTCACAGAGTGCTAGGCTGCCCAGTTGGGCTCAAACTTGCTACCCTCCTGCCTCAGCCTCTGCCTGGATTGTAGGAACACTCCACCACACCTGGCTAGGAAAAATTTTTTGTTGTTGTTTTTTGAGACAGTCTTGCTATGTAGTCCAGGCCATCCTCAAACTCACAGTGATCCTCCTGTCTCAGCCTCCCAAGTGCTGGGATTACAGGCATACACCCAACTAGAAAATAACTTTTTTTTTTCTGTTGGGCTTTTTGAGACAGGGTCTCACTATGCAGTTCAGGCTAGCGTTGAGCTCACTTTGTAGCTTAGGCTGGCCTTGAACTCACAATCCTCCTGCCTCAGCCTCCCAAGTGCTGGGATTATAGGCATGTGCCACCACGCCCAGCTAGAAAATAACTTAACTGAGGAAAAATTCTAGGAAATGCCATACTACAGGGTACCTGTTCCTCTGGAACATCTTTAAGAACTCTACTTAGCATTCTGTATCCCAGCCATGGAGCACAGTGCTTACGCATTGATGCCTCCATGATGATTAATGTGGAATAGAAGCCAGGCTCAGGTACTTGAGCCCTTCACAGATGGTGTTCTGTGCTCTTACAACAGATCTCATGTAACAGTACCTATGTACAGCATTTTGTCTTACACAGATCCCCATACAGATACTAGGTTGGCTGTGTGGTAGTCCCAAGAAAATTTTGATTGCTAGGCTTCAGATGAGTCAGCAGGGGCTGGGGATTTAGCTCAGCGGCAAAGCGCCTGCCTAGCAAGCGCAAGGTCGTGAGTTTGGTTCCCGGTACCGGAGAAAAAACAAAAACAAAAAACAAAAAAACAAAACCAGATGAGTCAGCAGTGTGTGGGATTTTGAAACTATTGCTCCATTGTTACTCAGCTACTGTGTTGCGTCACATCAGTTATTTCACCACTGTGTCACTAAATGGTTGGCTTCTCTCTTCTATCTCAGGATAGCAACTTCATTGAACTGTGTTCCATTAAGGACTTCTGGGCTTGACCTTAGCTTTCAGGAAGACAGAGTCCCTCTCCCCTCTAGTGCTGGGTTGTTGGTGAGTCAGCAGCCCCTGAAGACACAGAGGCAGGGGCCTCAGGCTCCCTAGCGGCCGAGGTCATTGGAGAATGTTTTCACCTCCCAACTTGGGCTTTTTTTTGGAGACGGCGTTGCTACGTAGTTCAGGCTGGCCTTGAACTCACTGTGTAGAAGCCCTGGCTGGCCTCAAACTTGTGGCAATCCACTCAGCCTGCTTAGTGCTGGGATTACAGGTGTATACTATACCCGGCTAACCTTGGGCATTTTCATAACACTGATTCTCTTGTCATCCACTCTACTGCCAGATCTCTACATATCCTGTGAAATAGGAGAGTAGGGAAGACATTCACAACCACCCAGAAAGCCAGTTTGATGGCATTTTACTTCATGGAGAGATTCGTTTTTATATTTGGACACTTCCCCAGGACTCTGAAGTCACTTTCTCTTTTCCAGCGTCATACAGTCATTTTTAGGCAGCTTAAGTGCTTTATTGATGTCTTAGCTAACCTTGCTACCCTTTCAGGACATTTCGGCCCTCAAGATCTTTTAAGAAGCCCATTCCCAACCTGAGGAGCCACGCTACTTCTGCCTACTAAAGAGTGTACTTAAGTAGCCTCCTTTTTCTTCAGCTCTTCCACTTTGGCAATGTAGACCTTCATGGCGTCCATCTTGGACATCCCTTTGTGGATGTTCCATGCCTCCCACTTGGCCTTGGCTTTCATGTCCGAGTCAGGAGGGGCAGGGATGTTGCAGTCACCCTGAGTGGCCTGTTTGTAGAAGCTGTACACCAGCATTTCTCCTGGTCACTCATAGGACCCTTCAGCTCCTTGACGGCAGCGCAAGCCAGCTCAAACTCCACTTGGCACATTGAGGTACTTGAGGCTGGGTCCCTCTGTTCTTTCCAGGTGACACCTGACACTAAAAATCGAGGAGGGAATACTTGTACACACGTGAGGCTGCTGGATCAGGTTGCCTTGCAGTGCATTTTTTGTTTTCTTTGTTTTGGTTTTTTGAGACACTGTCTTGTTATGTAGTCCAGGCTAGTCATGAACTCACTCTGAAGCCCATGTTGGCCTCCTGTCTCAGCCTCCCGAGTCACAGGATTACAGGTGTGCACCACCACACTCGGTTTGTTTTCTTTGAGACAGAAATCCATGACCCTGGAAAATTAAGGATTGCAGTCGCTGCCCGAAGGAGACAGTGTGGTACGAAGAGCGTTAAAGGCAATAGTGTCTGTGGGCCTGGGCCAGGCAGTGTGAGATCCGGGCACCTTCTGCGGGGAGGAAAATTACAAACTGCAGAGAGTGAGCAGCCTGGGCAACGGCATTCGTGCGAGTGAACTGTGTGCGCGAGCTATTGGGGATCCTTGAGGGGGAACGCGGGGACAGGGACTGTGGGCAGGACCACCTGGACTGAGGAAACCCAGACAGGGACATTGCGGAGCGTACCTACCTGTGTGCCGACAGAGGGCGCTGTGGGCTTGGCGGGCTCGTTGGCGAGAAATGCGCGTGCGTGCGTGCGGAGCGCGAGCGATCTGCGCTGGGGCTGCTGCGAGGGAAGGGGCCCGAGGCTGTGGGCGTGGCCTGTGGCCCCGCCCTCCCGCGCCTCCCATTGTGCCGTGGCGCCTGCGTCGCCCTGGCGGCCTCTGTGAGGAGCGGCGGCCCGCGCCGCCGCCAGCGTCGCCGCCATGGACCTAGGTGGGTGCCCGGCTCTCTATCCCGACCCGCCTGGGCCGTACCCCGCAACGCGCCTCCCGGGCAGGGCGGCCCGCCTCGCCCCTCCCGCTGCGCACGCCCGCGCGGCCCGGGCCAAAGAAAACTTCCGGGCCGAGGTGTCCTTGGAGACCCGGCGCCGGGAGGCCGGGCTCTGGCCCGGGCCGCGCTGCCCCTTCCCGGCTTCTTTCCCTCTCCAGCCCCCTTCCCCCTTTCACGGGAAGAAACCTCAGCGAACGGGTGTAAAGTTGATCCCGGGAGGTAGACTTGGATTGTGCACGTGCTTTGGGCCATGCCGGGTTGGGAGTACGCCCGGGGCGGTCACGGCACGGAGGACCTGCCGGTCTCAGTTTATTGAACATCAGCTAAGTTCTTGAGCAAGTTTCCTGGTCCTCCCGGGACTCATCGATAGGGCGGAGATGATGACACTTTTCCTCCCAGAGTTCAGGGCAATTCTCCTTGTGACCACGTGCACGCAGTGTTGGGTACCGTGCCGCGGATCCCTGCGTCGAGATCGCAGTTCGGGGGAGGGGTTACAGCAACCGAGGTGGAGCTTGCGGAGGAACCTGTGTGCAGCTTGATTCCGAGGAGGTCTGGAGAGAGGGAAGGCGGAGCTGATAGAAACCGATGGCTCCTTTCCAAGCTTCCACACCCTCCTGGGTGTGCTCTGGAGAGAGAGCAGCAGGCTGTCCTGGAAGAGCCAGGGGCGCGGCACCCAAGGGCGTGCCAATAATAGTAGACTGTGGAGACTTGTGGCTGTCCCCAGCAAGCTCTGCAGTGGTGGAGTGGCAAAGCTTGGGGAGTCTGTGGAGTACTGCCGCTGTGGCATTTTGTTTCGGCCTCACCATTTTGTGGTTGTGACATCCTGAACAGTTTGTGCTTGAGCCTCAGTGTTCCCGTCTTTAGTTTTTTTGGGTTTTTTTTCATACCAGGAATAGAACTCAGGACCTTGCGCTTGCCAGGCAGGTGCTTGTGCTGCAGAGCTATATCCCTGGCCCAAGTTCCCATCTTTAAAACGGGAATAATGGTAATCTTTAAAGGGTTGTTTTGAAGATTAAAAAGTTTTATATATGTACCACCTAGCTCAGTGCTTGGGAGAGTTAAGCAAGCACTTAACAAACATAAGAAGTAGGTACCTACCCACACCAGTTAACCATCAGAGATAATCTATTAACTGCTCCTGGGGTTTTTTCAAGTAGCATGTGTACATACAGTACTCAGTGTCTGGAAGGCAGGTGTTGGAGGTCAAACATCTGCTGAGCTGACTGCAGTAAAGTTGAATTTACAGAATCGCAAGGAAATGTACTTTGGGGCCATGAGAGAGCACCCTGATCAGAAGGAAGGGCCCCAACTCCCAAAAGACACCCACTGAGTAACCTAGACCCTGGGAGTCTGACCTGGCCACCACAAGCCAAGATGGATTGCTTTCACAAGAGGGTTGCACAGCGGTGCTGATTCTTGGCGCTTTATACTCCCATAAAAGTTGACGGGGTAGGATATTCTTTAGATTGCTGCAATCAGTATTGTCTGTGCTGGCTCCTGGCCTGTGAAAGTGAGGAGGATGTGATCTTGAGGGACTAGGGAAGGGCCGGCTTGTCTGGTCTCCAGGAAGAGGGAGAGGAGTCAGGAACACTTACTTGAGTAGTGAGCAGTGGCTGTATTCTGATTTTAGTTTGTGGGCCAAAAGAACTATATTTGGTAAAGAGTTATGTCCCAAACTGGACATGGTAGCACATGCTTAGGATCTCAGTTATCTAGGAGACTGAGACAAGAGGATTGCAAGTTCAAGGCCAGGCTGGAGAACTTGGTCCTATCTCACAAATAAATAAACAAATAAATGGCTGGGGATGTAGCTCACTGCTTCCTGGGTTCAATCTCTAGTATTTGTCCTTTAATGATTCTTCATTGTCAGTTTGGTTTTTTCAGACGGTCTCGCTATGCAGTTCAGGCTGGCCTTGAACTTAACTTTGTGGCCCAGACTGATCTTGAACCTATTCTCCTGCCTCAGCCTCCCAAGTGCTGGGATTATAGGCATGTGCCACCACTCCCGGCTTTGAACTAGGATTTAGGTTGGGTTTTTTTGGTTTTTTTGTATTTTTTGGTACTGGGTATCAAACTCGGGACCTTGTGCTTGCCAGGCAGGTTCGATTCCACTGAGCTCTATTCCTGGCTTGAACTAGGACTTAAACCACTTCTAATTAAACTTCCAGGACATCTTTCTTAAGTCTTGTCAGTTCATAGGCTCACTGAAGAAATGACTTCACTTTTTTATTTAGGACAGTATTTCTGTAGCTGCCTCCTGGTTTCTGCCATAGAAGCAGGGCCATGAGTAGCCTGCTCTCTTTGAAAGGAGCTGTGGGGTGACCTGTTTTTTTGAAAGGCAGAAGAATGTTTGAAACCCATTGGCAAGGCTATGAGAAGAAAGGGAAGGGAGGGTTTGTCCGATTGTTTCTGCGCCTGTGCCCTCAGTCTGTAGTCCGTATCATCGCTGAGCAGCTCAGTTGTCGTGTCCAGGAATATACTTGGTGCCCCCTCTGGGTTGCTTCTGTCCTTGTGCTCTTTCTAACCCTTTTTCCTCAAGTGCTCTGCAGGCCCCCCCTTGCCGGAGGCTCTAGCCTCACCGTGCAGCTTTTCTTTTCCACAATCTTCCCAAGGGATCTCATTTACTTCCCTCGATCCAGTGAGCCCCTCTGGGCAGATACCTCCCAGATTCAGCTTTCAGGCCTGACTTTCCCTCTGAGCTCCAGCCCTGCATTGTCATTGCTGGAGGACACCTCTTCCTTAATAGTGTACTTCAGACTCCCAAGTAACCAGAACCGAGTTTCTCTTCCCTCCAAACCTGTTCTGACTCTCTGCACCCTGTTTTTGGTAAATGTATAGGTGTGTATGTGCCACTGGGGATTGAGCCCAGGCCTTGCACTTGCTAGGCAAGTTACTCTACCACCTAGATGTAGTTTTATAAAATTTTATTTTGAGACAGGGCTTTGCTAAGTGGCCCAGGCTGGCTTCAAACTTTTCCTTCTGCCTCACCTTCCTGCTGCAGCCTTCTGAGTATCTGGGATTAACAAATGTGTGTCACCACACCTAGCTCTTGGCTGAGTTCTCTAATTCTCTTTCTCTCCCATACTGGAGATCCAACCCATGGCGTTATGTATGCTAGGAAGTGCTCTACCACTACTTACACCCAGCTGTGTTTCATTCTTGTTGGTACCCCTTGTCCTGCCAGTTCCCCAGCTAGAAAGCTTGGAAGTCATTTTCTGTTCCTCAGCTAAACTCTAATGACTCCAGCTCTCAGAGCCAACCCTTTCCCTCCTCTCCTACTGATGTCAATCAAAGTCTTTATCTTCTCTAACCTTGATAAGGGTAGCTAACTGCTAACTTCTGCTTCCTGTTTTGAAAACTTTTCACTACACTCTTTATTTGGCTTCTCTGTGTACAGGACCCTTCAATATCTGTGAAGAAATGACTATTCTACATGGGGGCTTCTTGCTGGCTGAGCAGCTCTACCGCCCGAAAGCACTGGCAGAACTGACAAAGTCTGACTGGGAACATGTTGGGCAGCCTATTGTGGAGGCCTTGAGGGAGATCTGCTCGGCCACCGTGCATTCCCAGCCACTTGCCTGGAAGAAGAAAGCTTTGATCATCATCTGGGCCAAGGTTCTTCAGCCCTACCCTCCTACTCCTCCTGACACTGAAACTCGGTGGCAGGAAGATGTGTTCTTCTCTGTGGGCAACATGATTCCTACTATCAATCACACAGTCCTTTTTGAGCTGCTCAAGTCCCTGGAAGCTTCTGGACTCTTCATCCAGCTCCTCATGGCTCTACCTACCACCATCTGCCGCACAGAACTAGAGCGGTTTTTGGAGCACATGACTATTGACACTTCTTCCAAGGATGTGGCCTTCTTCCTTGATGTCTGGTGGGAAATGATGAAACACAAGGGCAATCAGCAGGATCCCCTGCTGTCTCACTTTAGAACCATGGCCCATAAGTACTTGTCCTCTACAGATGAGTTCTCTCATCCTCCAAAGAGGTTTAAGTCAGACCCAGATGTGTGTCCAACCTTGCCTCTGTTGGCCATGTTGCTTAAAGGACTGAAACAAATCCAGAAGAGAATTCTGAGCCTTGGGATGAAGTGCTGTGCATTAGCCAACTTGGCTGACATGCTGACGGTGTTTGCACTCATGGAAGATGACCCCCAGGAAGTGTCTGCAACCATGTATCTAGACAAACTGGCCACAGTGATCTCTGTGTGGAACTCAGACACCCAGAACCCATACCACCAACAGGCTCTGGTAGAGAAGGTAAAGGAGGCGGAGCGAGATATTAGCCTGACCTCACTGGCCAAACTACCCAGCGAGACCATTTTCCTTGGGTTTGAGTTCATGCACAGCCTGCTGCAGGAGTGGGGTGAGGAACTGCAGGTCCTGCTCAACAGCAGCCAGGGGATAAATTATGATAGCTACCGGCTATGTGACAGTTTGACCTCCTTCAGCCAGAACTTGAAGCTGTACCTGGATACCACCAGCTTGTCCAAGGAGGAGAGGGAGGAGGTCTCTGAGTTGGCAGAGTGTGTCAAGGATTTCCTGAGAAAAACCAGCAGGGTGCTGAACAATAAGGGCTTTGAGGACATCACTGCCTCCATTGCCATGGCCATTATTGAGCAGAAGATGGACCGGCATATGGAAATGTGCTACATTTTTGCTTCTGAGAAGAAGTGGGCCTTCACAGATGAGTGGGTATCCTGCCTGGTTAATAACAGGGCTCTCTTCCAAGAGCCAGACTTGGTTCTAAGGCTCCTAGAGACAGTGATGGAAGTCACTATGACAGACAGAGCCATTCCCCAATCCCAGATCAAACAAGTAATCAGCTTGATCCTGGAGTGCTATGCAGACCTCTCGCTGCCAGACAAAAATAAAGTGCTTTCAGGTGTCCTGCATTGTTGGGGGCGAAAAGGCCTCTCTGAAAGGCTGTTGCCTTACTTGCAGAGTTTTCAGGAAGACCTCAATACGATGTTCAACCAGCTTGCACAGAGTACCTCTGAACAGGGCTTGGCTAAAGCGGTTGCTTCTGTGGCCCAGCTGATAATACTGCACCCGGAAATCACAGTGAAGAAGATGTGCAACATGGCCGTGGTCAATCTTGGGACTCAGAGGTTCCTAGCTCAGATTCTCACTGCCTTCCCTGCCCTTAGGTTCACAGAAGAGCAAGGGCCAAATCCATCCACCACTTTTGTGGTGTTGTGCCTCAAAGAATCTGTCTGGACAAAGTTCTCTACACCCAAGGAAGAGAAGCAGTTTTTGGAACTCCTGAGTGGCCTAATGAATCCTGTGAAACCCCAAGGAATTCCAGTTGCTGCCCTTCTTGAGCCAGATGAGGTGCTAAAGGAATTTGTCGTGCCTTTCTTGACACTGGATGCCACAGAGGTAGACGTAAGTCTGAAGATCTTCATCCAGACTCTAGAAGTAAATGTGGGCCTAGAGGAATATTGGCTCCAGACCTGTTCTCCATTCCCCCTTATCTTCAGCTTGTGCCAGCTCCTGGATAGCTTCAGCAAGTACTGGCAGCTTCCTCAGGAAAAGCGGTGCCTTTCTTTGGAGGGGAAGGATCTGGTGATCCACATCCTGGAGCTCCTCTGTGAGATTGTATTAGCAAATGCTGAGACCTTCTCCCCAGACACCTGGATCAAGTCCCTATCCTGGCTCCACCGGAAGTTGGAGCAGCTAGATTGGACTGTGGGCCCAAGGCTGAAGAACTTCTTTGAGGGCCACTTTAAGTGTGAGGTGCCAGCCACACTTTTTGAGATCTGCAAGCTTTCTGAGGCTGAGTGGACCTCTCAGGCCTACCCAGGTTATGGGCCTGGCACAGGGCTTCTTGCCTGGATGGAGTGCTGCTGTATCTCCAGTGGAATCTCTGAGCAGATGTTCTCCCTCCTGGTGGTGGATGTGGGCAATCCTGAAGAGGTCAGATTGTTCAGCAAGGGCTTTCTGGTGGCCCTGGTGCAAGTCATGCCTTGGTGCAGTCCCCAGGAGTGGCAGTGTCTTTACCAGTTGACCAGGAGACTATTAGAGAAACAGCTCCTGCATGTCCCTTATAGCCTGGAATATATTCAGTTTGTTCCCCTGCTGAACCTGAAGCCCTTTGCCCAGGAGCTCCAACTCTCTGTACTCCTCCTGAGAGCTTTCCAGTTTCTCTGTAGCCAGAGCTGTCGTAATTGGCTTCCTATGGAAGGGTGGAACCATATAGTCAGACTCCTCTGTGGTAGTCTGACCAACCTCCTGGACTCGGTTAGGTTGATACAGCCAGTTGGTCCATGGGCTCAAGGACAAGACCAGAACCTGACCCAGGAAACGCTGTTTGTTTATACCCAGGTGTTCTGTCATGTTCTGCATATCATGGCCATGCTCCCCCAAGAGGTCTGTGAACCACTCTATGTGTTGGCCTTGGAAGTCCTCACCTGCTATGAAACCCTGAGCAAGACCAACCCTTCTGTTAGTGCCTTGCTCCAGAAGGTAAATGAGCAGCGCTTCTTAAAGTCCATCGCTGAGAACATTAGCCCCGAGGAGCGGCGACAAACCCTGCTGCAGAAGATCAGCAACTTCTGAGCTTTGTAGGTCAGAGAAAAGCTGGGTCCGTAGGGGCTAAAGCTGAGAAGCATCAGCTTTCCAGTTATGTCTGATTGTATGCAAGATAAAAGGCATATGGTAATAACAGTGTAAACAAAATAGTTTCTTAGGTATTTGTAACATACAAACTATAATAAAATTCTCTTTTGTCTTGAGTCTTAGCAATAGCTTGGGATTAGATACACTCTAAAAGTAGGCTTAGATCATCTTTAAGATCAAATTGGGAGGAATATATTCATAACTGAACTTCCAACCCTAAATTTTGACAAATAAGCCCTAAAATGGAACTACCTGAGTAGGAAAATATTACAGGATGTGTTCTTTTTATTTTTTTGAGACAGGATCTCGCTATTAGTTCAGGCTGGGCTTCAATTCACTGTGGAGCTCAGGCTGGCCTTGAACTTGTGGTAATCCTCCTGCCTTAGCCTTCCAAGTTCTGGGATTACAGGCATGCATCACCTCACCTGGCAAGGGTGTGTTCTTGTAAGGGACTTTTTTTTTTTTACTATTTTCTTTTTTGGTACCAGGTATTGAACTCGGCCTCGCACTTGCCAGGCAGGCACTGTGCCGCTGAGCTACATCCCGAGTCCAAGGGTGTGTTCTTTCAAATTGAAACCCACTTCAAGAGTCATTTCAGCATTTAATACTTTTTTGTAAGGTGTCAGAAAGGCCAGGAACTTGAAAAGGAGTGTTCTTCTAGCTCTAGCTGTACCTCTAAATAGCTAGCTGTGTCATGCGTGCGTTTGGGAAGCCTGGACCATTGTATAGTGAGGCAGTTGTACCAAGAAACAAGTGTTCCTGAGGATGGATGACAAGGACGTATGTGTGCTGCAGGGAGCACTGCCATCCAGCACTGACCCTATCCAACCACAGATGGCCTGTGCTCAATCCAGGGCTGGTGAACAGCTGAGCTGTGTTAAGATAGGTCCAGTTCCTTTCTGCCTAGGGTTGGTTTGTCATGCTTTTGATGAATGAGTAGGATGAGGGAAAGGTGCGTTCAGAGCCATAAAAAAAGGAGCGGTTTCTACGGTATTACTACAAAACTGTAAGAATTGGTTGGAGATGGTATTTTGGGAGAGAGAAGATGACCCATCTGCCTGTCCACACCTTCATTCGAAGTGGAACCCTGCTCTCAAGTTCCTTCCCTCACCTAAGCAAACTTGCTCTGTGACCAATAATGGGGCTTCCGGTTTCCCAGTTCCTCACTGAGATTCACCTGTGAAGGCAAGGCCTGAAGTTACATGTGACCGTTGGGCTTGATCTTGGGCACCTTCAGTGTATTTATGGGACCTTGAACCGACATGTCACTAAGGTACGAGCAAGGCCTTCCTGGAGGCTAACACCAGTAATACACACTCTCTGCCAATTACATCAGCAGGAACTACAGCGCACGGCAGCCAGGCCATTGAGGTCACAGGATGGTTATCACAGAAAGTCAGTACAGATACATTTAACAAATGAGAGGAAGTTGGGAAATTAGTGCAATTTAATCACCACACGGATGACTTGCAATAGTGATAGTAAACAAAACAGTAAAACACAAAACCATCAAGTTTTATGTTTAAAATGGCACCTATTAAAGACTGAAACGGTCAAAATTTGAGACACTGTTACATATTCAGTCCTTTAAAAGTTCATGGACAATGAATTAAAGGCACTTTTAAAAAAATTCTAGTCTTATTACTAGACTTGAAAAAAGTCCTTTTTGGACTTGAAAAAAGTCCTGGTAGAAGTCTCAAACCCATCCTGGTTATGTAAGGAATGATTAGTGTTCGCACCAGAGGATCCCATTTGCAAATGGAGTGAAGGCACTGGTCCACAGGATCCTGTTTGCAAACGGGGGTGAAGGCGCTGGTCCACAGGACATGCTGGCTGCCCTCTCACTCTCCGGCCTTCTGGGGTGAAAAGGCAATGTACTCCACATAGGAATGGGCTCTAGCTCATCAGGAGGCTCTAGGAAAAGGACTCTGGCCTAGGTGAGACATCTCACATTTATAGTACAGAATTCCCATTTCTACTTCATATGAAAAGGACAGTGTCAGGGTAGAGTGACCCAGTAAGTAACTACTAAAGCATTTCACTTTGCCCCTGTTATTTTGGGTTTTTGTTTTGCTTTGCTTTTTTGAGACAGGGTCTCACCATGTAGTTCAGGCTGGCTTCAAACCCAGTGATTCTCCTGCCTCAGCCTCCTGAGTACTGGGGTTATAGGTGTGCACTACCACACTCAGCTTTTTCTTCTTTGTGGTAGTAGGGGTTCAACCCAGGACCCCTACACTGACCTACATTCTCAGTTTTTTTGTTGTTTTTAAATACAGGATATTTCACGAAGTTTCCCAGGCTAGGCTCAAACTTGTCATCCTCCTGCCATAGTCTTCCAGAGTGCTAAGATGACAGGCATGTGGCACCATATCTGGCTTGCCCCTATATCGCATGTATGTGGATATAAGGAAAGCTAGGCATGAGGAGTCATACTAAAATGGGAATAGTATTTGTGACTGCTTGTAGCAAGCTCACAAGTTTGACTCTGGTCTTTTACCAAGTCAGCCTGCCACCACTGTGCTGACTTCTGTTCACCTCCTGACCTACTCAACTGCTAACTGTTGCCAGTGACACTTCTGAGACATGGGAATGTCAGATATGCAGATATGGGAATTCAGTATTGACACATGGATGACAGGATGAGGCAAAGAACTGTGAATGGGCTATCTAGTAAACAATAAAAAACTGCATACCCACAATGATCTTCCCAGGCCAACAATGCAAGATATTTTAAGAACCAAGTCGTCATCATTTGCTTCTGCTGGCCCAGTACTGTGGGTACTGCCCTGAGTAGTTGCAAAGGTGGACAGGCACCAAAATAGGTGCGTGCCCAGACACTCAGCACTGTGATCCACCAACCTCATGTCCCATGCTTCAACCTCCCAGAGCTCTTGAGTTAAGGCCCAAGGAAAAATCCTTGGGCTTATATTAAGATAACTTTGCTGCTGGCAAAGAGCTGACAGCACCCAATAGCTGTTAACCATAAAAAGTGCTTCTGCAAAAGGGCAGGTTAGAAGAGGGAGGTAATGGGAATATTTTTAAAGAAAAATTCAGAGCTATCTGCTTATTGATACCCAAAAGGCTGAGGCCACCTAGGGCAGTTTGGTCCATGGAATACTGAGTGGAGGTGGCAGCTAGTGTGAGGAGACCCTCACTGCCCAACTTCTGGGGGCCGTTAACCATCCTTTTTGTCTTGGGGAGTGTCAAAGAGCCGGAGTGCCTTCTTGCACAGCAGAAAAAACCAGTAGAGCTGGGGAGCGATGAGGAAGGCATTCGCCACATTGCAGAAGAAAGGGATATTATATGGCACTTGGAGTAGGCTTAGTCCCTGATGTCGGCCATAGGACCAGTACATGAAGGGGAAAAGAAGGATCCGACAGCAAAAGAAGCTGGTCAGCGTGATGATTCCATTCACCTTATACAAAAGGGTGTGCTGCTGCTTTCGCTGTCGAAGAAGGGGAAAGAGAACAGAGATCAGTGAGAGGATGGTCCACGAGGCAATGACTAACCCAAGGTTCACAATGGAAAAGAACAGCAGGTGCATGTGCTAATCAAGATCTAGGCTGTCAAATTCCTTGATATCTATACATGCATCTAGTGTTCTGATACTTACAGGAAAGATAAGTGAGCATTGCTGTGTTTAGGCTATGGTGGCCAGTAGCTTGTTTTTCCAGTAGTGATGTTGAGTTTGGCCTAAGCCACCCAGTGATGGAAGTATAAGAACAGCGGACTGGGGAAAATCTCTGGCTAGGGGAAAATATAATGAGCAATATCAAACTTGGGTCAGCTGGGGGTGGTGGCACGCCCCTGTACTCTCAGCACTTAGGAGGCTGAGGCAGGAGGATCATTGTGAGTTTGAGACCAGCCTGGGCTACAAAGTGAGCTCAAAGCCAGCCTGAACTGCATAGCGAGACCCTGTCTCAAGAAGACAAAACAAAACAAAACAAAACAAAAAAAAAAACGTGGGTCAAACCTACCATTTCATTTCCATTGGCCTGGATGACCACCTGACCTTTAAGTCTGCTGAAAGATTGCCTATTCCATTATTCCTAGCATTAAGAGATTTCTCCAAACCCTACAGTCTCCAAAGGAAGAAGAGTATCTGTTGCCTCCTATACTATTTCTGACATTTTGTTCATACATGCCTGAATGAGAACTCTGCCCAATGACACAAATGGGGTGCTCAGTTCTGCTGTGAAGATGCAGCCAACAAAGAAGTCTCCAAGGTCTCCCCGGAACTTCTGCAGAGGAAGAAAGGAAATAAGTGGAGGTTAAGAAACTACTGGATAAGCCAAGTGTGTTCGCACACATCTGTAATCCCCTTCCACGCTCTGGGAAGCTGTTTTTCTTAGACTTGCAATCCTTCTGCCACAAAGGGAAAAAAAAAAAAAAGATTGCAAGTACAAGCCCAGCTTGGACAACTTCATGATTTAGTAAGACCCTCTCAAAAATTAAAAAATAAGATTTGAGACTATAGGTCATTGCAAAGATCCCTGGTTCAATCTCCAGTAAGAGAGAGAGGCGAGACCCACTGGGTACAGTCAGGAATGGTGGCTCACGCCTCTCATCCCAGCTACTCAGGAGGATAAGACAGGATCAGAAGTCAGCCTGGGCAATTTAGAGAGACCCTGTCTCAAGAAGTAAAAGGGCTGGTGATGTGGCTCAAGGGTAGACCACTTCCCTAGCATACTTCAGGCCCTAGGTTTAATCACCACCCCAACACAAAAAAGATCATGGAGAGAAAAGAAAATGCTACACAGGCAAGTGTACATCCAGTTTACATTCTGCTTCCACAGCAACAGCACTCTGATGTCCAATCCCTAGGACCCACAGGCAAATTCAGATAGGCTGATTATGTCATGGTTTAATTAATGTTTCTTTAAATTTCAGTGACAGCTGGAAAGAACTCTGTAGCTTATTTTTATGTATCTAATTTAATCATACTAAGGGCACTGAATCTGTACAGCTCAACAAAGTGTGTGCTAGATGATAGGATCCCAAAGCTATAAAGGCAGACTCCTTAAAGAACTTCAAGTAATCTACTTCTCCTTTTTTCAGGAAAGAAATCTAGTATAGTAGGACATGTCACTTTGACCTCTGAGTGAGATAAGTAAACTCTTTTTTTTTTTTCTGTCTTTTTGAGACAGGGTCTCACTATACAGTTCAGGTTGGCCTTGCGCTCACTTTGTAGCCCAGGTTGGTCTCAAACTCACAACGATCCTCCTGCCTCAGCCTCCTGAGTGCTGGGATTACAAGCATGCACCACCACACCCAGCAAAAACCTTTATGATTTTTTTTTTTTGGTACGGGGAATTGAACTCATGACCTTGTACTGGCCAGGCAGACGCTTGTGCCACTGAGCTATATTCCCAGCTCTCCGAGATAAGTAAACTCTTAGAGCCCTCATTTCTTCATTTATTGTATAATGGCCAATAATTTCTCATATTTAGCAAGCTATGAGCTTTTAGGTCAAGTGCCTCCCACCTGATAGGCACCCAGGAACGACAAGTTTCCTCTCTGCATTCACATTTCTCTTCCTTGTTGGATGGGTTTTTTGCTCTATTTTGGTTTTTCCCCCAAAACCTGCAGTCCTCCTGCCTTAGCCTGCTAGGCAGCTCAGCTTATAGGCATGTGCCACCATGACTGGCTTGGGTGAGTTTTTGATGGGAAAATTGTGGAGAAATTTATTTGTGACATGAGACTATTGCTCCCCTATCCTCTTTGATACTGTTATACTGTTTCATATTGTATTTTTATCATTTTTACACTGCACTGAACTCAAGACAGTTTTTGACATAAACACTAAAGAACGAGAGTTCTGGGGAATTGCTAAAAAGAATAATGTTGGTGAGCCAGATGCGGTGGCACATGCCTATAATTCCACCCTAGGGAGGCTTAAGCAGGAGAATGGTGAGTTCAAGGCCAGTCTAGGCTGCATAACAAAACCCTGTCCCAAAAATGAAACAAGAATAATGTTGGTAAAGAAGATCATGAACATTACAGATTTAATGATTTTCCTCTACTACTTGCATGGGGGATGGGACTGCTCAAGCAACTGGCACAACAGGATGAGCATGATAGAAAAGGCCAGAAAAACAGAGGCAATCCTGGCTCCTATGGAATGATCAGGACACCCAGTTCAACAGAAAATGAGTGCCCAAGGTTACTCCTACAAGGCCATACCTGTGCAACTGGCACAAGAACAAAGAGAATAACCACATGGTGCGTGATCATGAGGCGGTTTTGACTCAGGAAGTTTCGAAAAACGAAGGAGTGCCCAGGATTCTGGTCTTTGATTCGGCACCAATCACAGAGGTACATGGCGTAGCAGTCATAGACCATGTATGGAATCAAAAACCAGACATATTCTCGGGTAAGCCAGTGCCTGAAAGAAAGCATATGGATGATTTGTGAAATAATTATAAAGGTCAATTATGAAGGGTCAAAACCAATCTCTTCTCAAACAGGTTCCCTTCACCTTTGTACTTAATCAGCTGGTATTATTCCAAATACTTTATAGTGAAGATGCGGAAACTGGTAACTAAGGAGAGTGGACAACTTTTTCTAAATTACAGGGCAAATTCATGAGTGTCAAAGGCAAAAAGTAGGAATTCACTCAGTGCCATGTGTTTCAAGTAGCTTGCTATTACTGTTTGCCTGATTGAGCTACTCATCTATAATGCATTTCAGGCATTTTGTGATATAAGGTGATTTTGACATAGATAAATTTACACATTATTCAACAGCCCCACCAAGAAACTGGTTTAGAAGGTGTTCCCAATCACAAATCCAAACTTTCTAGTTTAACTCCATAGTTGCTCAATAGAGGGAGTTTACTAACTTAAACCCCTGAACCTCTGAGCTTTCTATTGCGTCTATACACAACCCCACTCTGGGCGACTCTGGGACTCAACCCTGGCTAATCCCACTTCTACTCATTAAGAAAAGTATGTCTGGAATGAGCCTGAAGCTCAACTACATCACAGCAATTAGGTCTGAGGAGAGGACAGTTTGGGACAAACATCAGTGTTTCCATTTACTTGTCCAATGCAACTGAATCAGTATTTGATTAGTCAGGGCCAGGCATGGTGGCTCACGCCTGTAATCCCAGCACTTGGGAGGCTGAGGCAGGAGGATCATTGTGAGTTCGAGACCAGCCTGGGCTACAAAGTGAGCTCAAGGCCAGGCTGAACTGCATAGCGAGACCCTGTCTCAAAAAGACAAAAAAAAAAAAATTGATTAGTCAAATAATATTTTATTGCCTTCCTAGAGTAAATCAGAAGGAAAATCTCTACAATTAATACAAAGCTGTTACCAACAATAAATAGCTTCTATAAAAATTTTATGTAAAAAAAGCCATCTATATTGAAATCATGGCCGGATGTGGTGGCACATGCCTGTAATCCCAGCACTCAGGAGGCTGAGGCAGGAGGATCATTGCAAGTTCAAGACCAACCTGGGCCACAAAGTGAGCTCAAGGCCAGCCTGAACTGCATAGCAAGACCCTGTCTCAAAAAGACCAGAAATAAAAAAAAATTGAAATAATGTACCATGCTGGGAAGCATTAAATTCACTTACTCAGCATTTTTTTAATGTCCATGTGATAGGTAAAGGAAACTAATTTTATGGTTCTCAAACTACCTGATCAGAATCATCTGCATTAGAATCATCCCTTAACAGTCATCTGCTTGTTAACAGATCCACTCGCAGAGATTCTAAATTGTATGTCTCAGACCTCCAATCTGCACTTTAACCTTGTCTCAGCTGATTTTCTGAGCCAGTCCACTCTACAGCAGCACTGGGAATATACTCTATAGAGGATGCCATGTAAGTTTCTGTTCCTGAATGGCCGACTCCATTTACCACAGCATAACTAACTAATGCATAAACAAAATAGAGGCAGACAAGCAATTAGGGCAAATATAATACACTTACAGATGCATTAATTAGCCAAATTCCATCTGGACAAAAAGACACAATACTCATTCCCCTGCCCATCAATGGTCTTAGTTGCTTTCTTAAAGCAATTCCAATTTTAAAAATGAAAGAGACCAGGAATATAGCTCAGTGACACAAACGCCTGCCTGGCAAGCGCAAGGTCCTGAGTTTGATTTCTGGTACAAAAAAAATTTAAAAAATAAAAATAAAAACTGTAAAGAACTACTGAAAGCCTAGCTGAAAAACTGACCTCTCCCTTTGAATAGAACTTAGGGTTTATAACTTTGCACCTAGGGCCAGGGATATAGCTCAGTGGCACAGCGCCTGCCTTCCAAGTGTGAGGTTGAGTTCAATTCCCGGTACCAAAAAGAAAAAGAAAGCAATAAAAGTTTGTACCTAGAATTAAATAAGATCTGTAACCACAATTCTCTGAAAACTTATTTGCAAGCATCTAGATTATAATCTCAACTACCATGAGCCTATGACTTAACTTTCTTTGTAAAATTAAGATGATAATCTTTGTCTTACTCTACTTCCCTGATGGAGTCACTGTGAAGATTAAAAAATTGAAAGTGTGAAAATCCTTTTAAATATAAAAAGCACTGTCCAAATATAAATGGTTCAACTGAGAAAACTCCCTAGAGATGTAATTTAGCCCTTTTAGGGGTCTGGAGCCCTGTGATCACCTGCTGAAATCCTTGGCTCCATACTACATTCAGCCTAAAATTTAGGATTTAGAGATACCCACTCCTATGGACAGTCTATATGGATAGGAGGATAAAATGAGAAGGTGTATAGTAGAAAAATATCTGGGTGCATGGGCGTGTAGTCTGAGTCATGAAAAGCCTGTAAAATAATGATACAGGTGTTTTATCATATCTTTACGCACCCACACAGAGGTGGAGGAAAAATGTATCTATTTCGCAAACAGAATCCAAGGCGTAAAGATATATAAAAGGAAGAATGTCAAAACTATATTCAGACTATTTGCTGCCTTGCTGAACTGCTAAAACATATTACTTCTAAGAGGCAAATACAACAATAGTGTGTTACAGAATGCTGTTAGTTATGTGTGAATATTTTTTCCTGAAATGCATAGCAGTTGCTTCCTGCTCACCTTGATGTTAAACTAGCAGAATGGAGTCATATTTGTCTTAGCTTAAGCATCTTTGTTAGGAGGCTGGTTTCAAGTTTGATCTGACAAACTGCAGGCAGTGAGGGAGCCTGCTACATGACCAGAAAATGGTCAATTAAAATAAAAAATTTAACCCAGCCAACCAAGGTCATTCGGCCCATCTTCTCTTGGCATCTACAATTCATTGTCAATAACTAATCTGTTTAAAAAGGGGTGTAGGGGATTTAGCTCAGTGGCACAAGCGCCTGCCTGGCAAAGGCAAGGTTTTATCCCCAGTACCGCAAAAAAAAAAAAAAAAAATTAAAAGAGGTGTAAGAATAAAAGCATGAAAATCAACAGCAAGATCAAACCCAATTACGATCGCAAGCCACAGGGAGACAAACACCCCACTCAGGCTCTCCCGGCACCCCAGTCTCAACAGGTGAGAGGCAGGATGTGGCTAAATCAACATGAGAGGGAAATCAGGAAAGATGGCCAACACAGCTGCCTATCATTCTGATACTGGAAAGTAGTGAAAATGGGTGTAAGATGACGCGTGAAGAAAGTGGCTTAAAAAAGAAAAGTGCCACCTCTGTCCATGTGTAAATACTAAACATAATAAACCTTTCTGGTTTTAACATATGATTTGTTTTACTGAAGCTGCAGACAGATGCTCATTTCCTTACCTGTCTCTACATTGAGCTCTAATACACATTCAAGTCAGTTTTCTGAAAGCACCTGAAAACTCATCACTTTTAGCAAATCCAAAGGGAAGACACAAGGGCAGCATCTGCAGGGAGGGAGGGGTCCTGTCAATACTACTTGTATCTGGTACCTCAGCTAATGAATGGTCCAGACTGGGAACCGTTCAGTGGGCTCTTTAAAAGAACCAAAATCCATACTCACTTCTAATGACTTTTCACTTAGAAAGAACTTGGAACGGACCACACCGCCCTCATACCCCACCTTAAATCAGTCTTACTTTTGCTCTCCTTTCCTTCTAGTTTCCTTTTTCCTAAGCTGGGGGCGCTGAAAGAGGCAAGGAGAGGAGAAAGGCACTAATTATGGTGCTCCAAGTTCGCCCATTCAGTCTATCATCTACCTAACAATATGTGGGCATAAAGAACTAGTGCCTGTGAGCCACTCACTGCAAGGCGAAAGCTTCGAAGTTCCTTAGCCTTGTCATTTGCATCTCTTTCACCTGGGACTGAAGGTTGTTACCTGTCTGAGACCACGTTGCTGCAGGAACGGATGATGACGATCCCTGCCCCGGTGGCCAGCACAGCCTGCACTGAAGAAACCACCCTAACGTTGGGCAGAGAAGGAAAATGAAAGAAAGCGCGTTCCATCCAGTACTGCGGACAGCACAAACTTGCAACCTGACTTTCCCCGCCAGGCGAAGGAAAATGGTAGATGTGGGCTGCAGCTCCGACAGATGCACACATCCCTCCCTCCCCACCCGCACTCGTGGGGCGGACCTCCACCCTGATCCCTCTCCCTCACGCACAGGCGCTCCAGGAAGCTCTGGCATGCGCGACGCAGAGAGGCAGGGACGCCAGGGAGGCAGCCCCCTCGCTTCCTGTTGCCCCCCTTTTCCGCCCTCAGCCCCCGCGCGGAGGAGGGCAGCGCCCCGGCGCTGGGCGGGCGGCCCGGCCACGCCCGGTACCTGGTGCCGACCATCACGCAGTCGTTGTAGCTCCATGCGGGCCGCCAGCGGCGCAGCGCCCAGGTGCTGAGCGCGAAGAGCCCCGGGAAGAAGAGCGAGCCCCAGGCCAGCGTCAGCAGCATGGGTGCTCCGGGTCCGGCCGCCTCGCGGGGCGCCGCTCGGCGTGGCTCGGGTCGGCTCCGCGGCGCGG